AGAGGTCCACGGTCCTGCGTGGGGAACCGTCGTGCTTCCGAGTGACTACCATACGATGACACCACGCCACTGGCTCGCCGTATGGCACACGTTCAATGACCCCAAGGGCTTCGTCCCGCAGGAGGTCATCGTGGACCCTCCGCTGCCAGTGTAGAGGCACTGTAGCCGCGGTGTGACATGCCCTAGGCGTAGCTGCGGGGTCCACGTGCATCTCGATAGGTGGCCCCTCCATGCATGGTAGTGCTCGATGGGGGCAAGTATTGAACGTCGACGAGGCATATCTCCCGAGTAGCCAACCTTTCATCCGGTTGTTGTTCTCTGGCGTACAAGGGAACGGCAGTGCTGCGGGGCGCACCGGGGGGACCGTGCGCTGAGGATATGAGCACTGGGCGTCCCGGGGGTCACCTGGCCCCACGCAGCCGCCGTTGGCTGACCTCGTCGCATTGACGGACAAGGGCTGGTCTGGCGTGTCAGCCGTGTCAGGGCTACGCCTGTCCTTGGGCCCCCCTGCAACGTCGTCCGATGGGAAGTTCACGGGCAAGAGGCCGAGGTTGAGCAACGATTCGTAGGAGAGGTACATGGCCCGGACCGAGCTGCTCACATATACCATGGAACGGCAGGATGTAACACGCCCCCCGCTGCAGGTCGTCGAGAGCCTAGCGAAGAACGCTCCCTCGATGGTTATAGGGGAGCGGTTGGCGGCCGACAGGCTGAGGCTGACGGGTCGCAGGTCGTCCCGCGAGAAACCGCAGGCCAGGAACTCCTCCAGCGACCAAAGGTCCGACTGCGCGCCAGTGTCCGCAACGGCGGATATCCGAGCTCCGTCGGCCGAGGCCCGGTTGCCGGTGCCATCCCTCAGCCCAACTGGCATGTCCATCGAGATGGTGATTAATGCTCGGGGGTGGTCTCTCAGCCTGGCCCGTCTCCATTCGCCCTTGGAGAAGATGTGGTGCTCGAGTCTGATAGGTGCTTGCCTGTTGACACATCCGTGCGACGTAGGGGCGCGGCGTCGGCGATGGCTCCTGTGACGTCAGCCAGGGCGGGCCCCAGCTTGCACCGATGAGACCTGGGAGACCGGCTCCGACCCCATGGCGTTCTGTTGACTGTCGGATGGCGGCTGTTGACGCCGCTGTCGTCGGCGGGCCCTGTAGCAGCCGATGCACACCTGGTGAGGCTTAGGATTCCACCCGCGAGGCCCCTCCGTGAAGACGTTAAAGACGCTCTTACATTCCGGGCATGAGGCACGTTTAGCCCCGTCCGCAGGGCTCGGGGCGGGGCTCGTCTGTGGAGTCGTCTTCAGGCGCCGGAATGACGACATGGCTGATAGGGAGGACGACGGGAGAGCGTTACGGGCCATCTCTCTGTTCTCGACGAGTGCAATTACGTCATTAACTGGCTTAACCAGGACGTCAGGTGTCCCCAGCGTCTCGCGCCGTATGTCTGAGTCATAAATGCCATTGAGCAGAACATCACGGATGATGTGGTCGGTATAGTCCACGTCCTTACCACACTCGCATACCGCATTATATGCGCATGTCTCTGCTTTACCCCGCACTCTGGCAGCGAATGCACGGAATGTCTCATCGCGTTCCTGGCGGAACTGAAGTAGCTCGGTGCGCAGGACACATGTAGCGACTGGGATGACAGCTAGGGAACGCATGACGGTGATTAGGTCTGGCAAGGGTCCGGAAGCGGCGTCGGGGACGGCTTTCAACAGGCTGTCTCCAAGTACAGACCCAGCGCACTGAAACAGCTGGAAGGGGGCCTGGGCATCCCCTATGCCTGAGCCGGCGCGGAATACGTCCCAACGGCGGATGAACACGTTCCATTCCTCTATCGAACACGCCCACATCAACTTTGGGCCGATCGAGTCTCGGGCCGTGAGGGGCTGGGGCCTGGGCTGGCGCGGCCATGACAGGCGCTGCGTGCTGGTAGCTAAATCCATGAATCGTCAATATAGCAATGACGAGTGCTTCAGACAAGTCTTCGGATTCGAACTCGCAGCCGGGGACAGGGCTTCCAACAACGACCATGGTGTCGTCATGAAGAAACACACTCCTCAATGTCAGTTTCGGTACTTTAATGACAAGGATGACGACACCCTGAAACAGAGCAATGCAGCAAGATAAGCTGACAAAGTACTAGATAGATACTAGATAAGATAAGCTGACAAAGTACTACATACATGCATGTCATGACCAATACACATATATTCAATTACAATTATTTTAAACGGACACTTTGACCGGAGAGATTTAGATTTGCCGGTCTTCAGCATATTTTACCAGTCGTAGTCCGGTAATTACCGGCTAACGGGAACTCTGGCATGGGCACCTGGTGGTATCCGCGCACCAGGTCCGTTTTGGAAAACACCAACGTACCGGCCAGATGTGCTGAAAAGTCTTGAATGTGCGGCACCGGGTAGCGGTCAGGTGTCGTGGCGTCGTTGAGGCGGCGGTAATCCCCGCACGGGCGCCAAAAGCCGTTCGGCTTGGGAACGACGTGTAGAGGAGAGGCCCAAGGACTGTCAGAACGGCGGACGATACCCCGGCGTGCCATGGTTGAAAACTCTGCCCTCGCTACTGCAAGCTTAGAAGGGTTCAACCGCCGGGCCTTGGCGTAGACTGGGGGACCTTCGGTGGTGACGTGGTGCTCCACCCCATGCTTAGTTGTGAGCACGGAGAAGGTGGGTAGCGTCAGGTCTGGAAATTCAGCCAACAACCTGAGAAAAATGTCCGCCCCCGACAGCGAGCCTGACAGCCCGTCGTACGCCGCCTTGCCAAGTGTACATACGAGGGAGAAAAACGTCAAGGCATCAACCAAGCGTTTATTTTTAACGTCCACCAGGTGCGTGAGCACATAAAAAGTCTGCCCCGAGGAGGGGAAAATAAATATCTGCCGTCGCAAAATCCCAGTTGAACCACTGTCCTCCAATACACAAACACATAGGCCTCACGCCGTACGTGCGAATGGGGCCGCCATTAGCCATTGTCAACCACGGTCCATGTCCCCCACGAGCGACGTCTTCCCTCGACGCAGGAACAACACTCCGTTGAGCTCCTGTGTCACACAGAAACAAGCTTCCTGAGATTCTGTCGCTGACGAAGAGAAGCCTGCTCGTGCCGCCAACGCTCAGGGCCTCTACCGAACGCCGGCTCCTCCGTTTCCCGGAGGCTTGTAACTGCAGGGAGCGACACACTTCTTCGCCCGAACCGCGCGTGGTAAAAACACTCTCCTGTGTCCCCACGCTGGCTTGGTACCGTCACGTCCAGCCACCCCCAAGCCTTCTTAACTGTAGAGGGGGCGCCGGGCGTCACAGCTAGCGCCTCTGCACCGGACTGCTGGGTAGCCAGGAAAAAACGGTCGGCCACTTCAGCCAAGGCACGGGGCTCCGTAATGGACGTGTTGGCTAGTGCCGTCTGACCCCGGGAAGGCAAGTTGCGCAGGAACGTCTCCATGAACAAAATCCGGGGATCTTCCCCCCCTAGCAGATTTAGCATTTTCTCCATTAGCTGAGAAGGCTTGCTGTCTCCTAGGTCTTGAATGTCAAGTATCTGGCGGGCCCTCTCCTTAGCAGATAAGCTAAATGTCTTAAGGAGAAGGGCCTTAATCGCCTCATATTTGCCACGGTGCGGGGGGTCTGCGATAAATCCCACCAACCTGGATGACGTGGAGCTTCCCATCGCTGCTACCACGTGGAAATATTTCAAATCCCTGTCACGGACTTGTCGGCAGGCAAAGTGTGCCTCCACGTGTGCGAACCACGCCGCAGCGGCATGCTCCCAAAACTCCGGCAGCTTTACAAAAACATAGCGATCAGCCATGTTCATTGAGTCTTCGGAAACTTTCACGAAAACGTCAGGGTCACCGGTGTAGAGCCGATCAACGGGAGTCAGAGGCGGTGTATTCAGAATGGACTTCCACACTTTATTATTCATTAATCAAGAAGACGTGAGTACATGTGCTGCTCTGTGTAACCAGCTAGCATGAAAGACGTCCAACCCCGGTACCCTCAAATTATGTATTGAAGTCAATGGAGAGAGAAATATTATCTTTCGATCCCGTTTGAATTGTGCCACGAATTACACATATGATGTTTGTCAATTTAAAAGATAATTTTGCAAGTCAATTTTTTTTTAAATGTGTCGTAAAACTGTGAAGTAAGTAACACATTTTTTTGTGTGAAACGCTTAATGAACTACATCTCTGGTCTCGCAGACTCTCACAACAACACACGTCACCAAGATGGCCGTCACTACTGTCTTGTCAAAAAAGTGATTGACGACCCTCACTATCAACCATAGTTTACAAGTAGTTCCAGCAAACATCCACTGATAAACTGCGATGTTAACAACCGCATGATAACCTCATATTTGTTTTACTTAGGATCATACCTGTGTTTAGTCTAGAAAAAGGTAAATGTGTGCATTTTATTATAAAGTTGTGTATATTTACAGACTGTTGCAAAAACTAAGAAGCTTGTAAAAATGAGGTTTAAAACTAAAAGAGCTTTACAAAAAAGTAACACAATTACAGATGTTTGGAGTTTTATTTTAGTTATTAATTTAAATGTTTTGTCTAAGAGATGCTGATTTGAAACCGTTGTTACTTACAGTTACGGCATTTCCTGTTTCTGCCGGAGAGAGGGGAGTTTGTCCCAAAGCTTGCCGCTGTATTTACTCCCTCCATCTGACAGGAGGAGCCTCGTTGAGCTGCGAGTGGTCCATGGTCACTCCACGGAGTTCACTCCGTCACGGAGGGGGAGTGTGTAGGGGTAGGGTGTGGTTTGGGATTGGGCCTTAAAAGGTCCTTCGGCGCCACTCGATGACGCAGTATACTTGAAATAGTGGCTCTGCAGCAGCAGGTTTATTCGACATTGAGAAACGGCCCGTGTCGTGTGTAAGGTACAAACAAACTAACGCAGCTTTGTTGTTTTAATAGTAGTGCCATATTGCAATTGATACTTAACCGTTGTTTCTTTTTTCCTCAACAGTTCAGCCATGGAAGATGAAATCGCCGCACTGGTTGTTGACAACGGATCCGGTATGTGCAAAGCAGGATTCGCCGGAGACGACGCTCCTCGTGCTGTCTTCCCCTCCATCGTAGGCCGCCCCAGGCATCAGGTGAGGCATTGAGCTCCAAAAGAATAGAGAACCGCAGTGACGCGTCCTAAAACCCGGAAGTAAACTTCTTCCGGTTCCTTCGTCGAAAACCAATGCAATTTCTCCATAGGATTTTGGAAAATAGCTCGAAATAAGGTCTGTGGTTGACACACATTTAAGAGAGGGATCACGTTTTGTTCAGCCGGATAATCTCCACATGTCAACCCTAATTTTTGAATCATAAATCTAGTCGCCAGAAGCGAAATGCTAACGTTATGCTATTAACGAACTACAAGCCAGTACAGCAGCAGGGTCGCACGACTTCAACGTCACGCCAATTTAAGATCGTTTCAACTGAAAGATATAACCTTGCACTTTGATAAGTCTCGTGAACATTTTGACATTTTTATAGATCAAAATTGAAATAAATGGTAGATTAATCCATATTGAAAATAGGTGTCAGCTGCTACACTAATTAGAAGTTATATTTCTTAATTAAGATAAGATATTACTGTATTGATCCCAAATAGGGAAATGTTTGTTTTGCAGCAGCATAACAAGAAAAACAAAATATAAGTTATTATATATACAAAAGTATGTGAGGGATGGAATATTAAATTGAATATAAATGTAAAATGTACATGTGATTTGACGTCCAAGAGAAGCTATGGAGCAGAGAGTTCTCTGCCAGCCAGAGGTGATTTGTTATTAGTTCAATATGTCAAACTGATTTCCCTGACTACAATCTTTAGTTACATGGTGAAACGTTATGCTGCTTGTACTAATTAGATCATATAAGCCACACAGGTTTTAATAGGATGTATTCATTATCTTTACTTATGTTGCGGTCTTTTCAGCAGCGCCCCTCCAAGACAATGGTAGGGGAAACACTGCATGTGTGTAGTCTTTAATATTAAACATGATCGCTGGTAGATAGCCACAGAACATAAGTCGTATCACAAGTTAACCTGGGCGGATCACAGCTCCACAGCTGAAGACTTCTCCACACTGCTTTCAAACTGAGTAAACTACGTGTGCTTCACTTGTAGGCTGTCTGAAGGTGTACACAGGTCTCAGATGGACTTGGTATCACATTAGGAATGATATTCAGTAATAAGTCTGGCAAAAATAACTGGTTTAAATGATTTATTCAAGCATGCAATGTTTTGAACAGACATTCCCAGTCACCTCATTGTCATTTTGTAGTCCTCGCTGTACGCGTCCGGATATCTGCATCGCAACCACAACCTCCCACACTGGTACTGAATGTGCATCAAAGTCTTCCTATCCAGCCAAATATACCAAAAGATAAATGTAAACGACAGAAGAAGCGATCGAAATGTGTATTTCCTGGTTATTCGACAATGGCTCCTCAAAGTACACGCCCCTGACACATTCCTACCGTTACAGAATATCACGAGTTCCCCGCGCCACCAGTTAAACAGTAAGACCTGTACTTGGACTTGTAAACTGTATGTATATCCATGTTGTAGTGCATAATATATATAATCTAACCATCTCTGATGTCTTGATTCCAGGGTGTGATGGTCGGTATGGGCCAGAAGGACAGCTACGTTGGTGATGAAGCCCAGAGCAAGAGGGGTATCCTGACCCTGAAGTACCCCATTGAGCACGGTATTGTGACCAACTGGGATGACATGGAGAAGATCTGGCATCACACCTTCTACAACGAGCTGAGAGTTGCCCCCGAGGAGCACCCCGTCCTGCTCACAGAGGCCCCCCTGAACCCCAAAGCCAACAGGGAGAAGATGACCCAGGTACACACCCTTCCTTAACTTTAGCACACACAGAATGTAGCATACTTAGCTTATCCCGTATTATTAGCTATTTAACTCGTAGCCTCATTTCTTCCTGGGTTTCCCTCCATTCCATTCTCACCTGCTCCTTCCTCCCCCTCTCCTCCAGGACTTCTCTCCTATAAGATGATCTATCATCAACAGGTCTCTCTTGACTGTGTGCCTTTTATCTGCACTTGTGTAGCTGAGTTATTAAATCAGCACTACTTTAATAGACATCTGACATGCACAAGTGTGAAGGAATGATGACTTTCTGCACTTTGTTTCTCTACTAACTTTAATCTTAGCCTCACACAATAATGCATGTAGTGAGTGCAGTGGCCACAGAAGTTAAGTACTTTTTTTTATTGTGATTGATTATTAACATGTTCTCTTTTCATTCTACAGATCATGTTCGAGACCTTCAACACCCCCGCCATGTACGTTGCCATCCAGGCTGTGCTGTCCCTGTACGCCTCTGGTCGTACCACTGGTATCGTCATGGATTCCGGTGATGGTGTGACCCACACAGTGCCCATCTATGAGGGTTACGCCCTGCCCCACGCCATCCTCCGTCTGGATTTGGCTGGCCGCGACCTCACAGACTACCTCATGAAGATCCTGACAGAGCGTGGCTACTCCTTCACCACCACAGCTGAGAGGGAAATCGTGCGTGACATCAAGGAGAAGCTGTGCTACGTCGCCCTGGACTTCGAGCAGGAGATGAGCACCGCTGCCTCCTCCTCCTCCCTGGAGAAGAGCTACGAGCTTCCCGACGGTCAGGTCATCACCATCGGAAACGAGAGGTTCCGTTGCCCAGAGGCTATCTTCCAGCCATCCTTCCTCGGTGAGTTACCAACTTAACATAACCTGCACTACATCCCTAAAAATAAGGAAAAACCCCTTCTAGTTATCCTGCAGCGACACTTGCGAACCAGTGTTTTGATTCTGCCCTCAGGTATGGAGTCTTGCGGAATCCACGAGACCACCTACAACAGCATCATGAAGTGTGACGTCGATATCCGTAAGGATCTGTACGCCAACACCGTGCTGTCCGGAGGTACCACCATGTACAACGGCATCGCTGACAGGATGCAGAAGGAGATCACCGCCCTGGCCCCATCCACCATGAAGATCAAGGTGAGCTGAGCCTCTGCCCAGCCAGCACAGTAACATACTGCTCTGTTTGAGTCGGATGAATGCAAAAAGAAATGGTGTCTAATGCATCTTCCCCTTGTCTCTGCAGATCATTGCCCCACCAGAGCGTAAATACTCTGTCTGGATCGGAGGCTCCATCCTGGCCTCTCTGTCCACCTTCCAGCAGATGTGGATCAGCAAGCAGGAGTATGATGAGTCCGGCCCCTCCATCGTCCACCGCAAATGCTTCTAAAAAAACAGACTGTTCCTCCTTCCCCCTCCCCAACCAGACGCCCAACAACTTCAGCTCTGTGCAAAACAACCACACACACATTTCTCATACACACTCAGGCGCAGAGCCTAGACGACCAACTCATTGGCATGGCTTCAGTTATTTTGGCGCTTGACTCAGGATTTTAAACTGGAACGATGAAGGAGACAGTAATGTTTTGGCTAGATTAAAAAAAAAAAAAAAAAAAAAAAAAAATCACCCAGGGTTCTGCAGTTGCATCTGGGGAGTTTTTTCCTTTGAGTCATTCCAAATGTTTGTTAACTGCATTGTTCAGACACGTATTCGCCTCTGTGAAGGCTGCCCAGTGGTTGGCGCATACTTAAACATGGTTGTAGTATCGCTTGTATGTAAATTATGTCTGGGTTTTTTGTACTTTCAGCCTTAAAAATATCTTGGTCCTGTTTAATTTTTTTTGTTTTTGTTATGCAAAACCCAGTCGGGACCTCTTCCCCCTGATGGAGGTTTCATTCCCTGGGGTGGTGGGGCAAAGGGGTCTCTCAGTGATGGGGTAACATGGGGTGCCAGACCAGTGGGGCCAACCTGTACACTGACTAAACAATCCCAATAAAGTGCACATGTGTTCCGACATGACGTCTGACTCTTGTCTTCCATTAAATGAGTTTATTTCAAGGTGAATGTGACTTCCAACTGTTATTGAAAAGCTAAAAGAACATTTGAAAAGTACACAAGACATGGTTCTTCCAGGAAAATCAGAGGTATATAAACATTCACATCTTGTAGGAAGGTGAACCAGATATTTAAATGTTTCTAGTGTGTGTATACATTCATTAATGCAGCACATTTTTAAACTAGTGAAATAAAGAATTTTAAATGGCCTTTAATACAGGTCTCATTTACTTTTGTTAAATGGCAGATTTCCAGTCAAGACAAAGGCTAACTTCAATGATTAAAAGTATCGACTAACCTAAAATCTCTACTATAGATTACTTTGAATCTTTAACCCTTGAAAATCCAGATGTTTCAGTCTCTATAGAACCATGTGTTAAACTCAAAGTGGTCAGATCACCTTTTTAGGCATAACCATTTTGATTGTATTCCATAGGTAGCTGCTTATTGAGTTAATACATTAATGAACCAGTGAGTCACAATACAAAGATGATGACACCAGTGGTGGTTCTAGACCAATTTGACTGGGGGGGCCAGTGATTTTCTGAGGGGGGCACAATAAATGCAGGACGAAAAAGAGAACTAGACAGTATGAAGTATAATAAGAAAACAATGCAATACAGTTATTGGTATTTGTTTCAGTACACTTATTTATTTCAGATATATCTTATAGTTATTACTGTTAGCTTCAGCTTAAGTTATAGTACAATTTTTGCACTAACACCATATTTATATAAAAATAAAGGCAATGAACAGTTACATCTCTACTTTACATCTACAATTACACGGATACAATAGTTTAACTCCCCTTCAATTATCCTGGTAGTCTCTCGAAACGTAGGTTTCAATCAGTCTTTCTTGGATGCAACAGCCTCTGATGATCCGAGATGAAAAGTGTTTGATTTTCACGCGCTTCAGCCGGACAGTGAAAGTGAGTGCACCGCTCTAATGGGTCTGACTAGAATGACGAACATTAGTTCCGCCTATTCCGTCATTCAATAAATCGTGTAATAAATCATACATTTGTTTCACTTTTTACACTTTTCATTTTTAGGGGGGTCAGAGGTCAGTGTTAGGGGGCACTGCCCCCCCCCCCCCCCCCCCCCCCCTAGAACCGCCCCTGGATGACACTATACATGTGTAATATTTAGATGCCATTACAGGCAGTCATTTGGATTTATTCCACAAAACAACATTCAGTAGACTGTTGACTTCAGCAGCTTAATGTCTCCCCTCAGGGCTTCTTAAAATCTTGTTAGCAGTGAAGGATTTTGGACTTTAACGTGGAACTAACATAAGTACATATTCAGTTTACAGGGTATGAAGGTGCTTTCAAAACCTGACAACTCCAAACACACTGAACTGTAGGGATGCACAATTACTTGCATTTTTTTTGTTGAGAAAAGAATATGGACAAATGCAATATTCAACTTACAGTAAGGACAATATTTGGTAAAGGCTAAATATAAGAACGTGTTTTTTTGTGGAGCTGCAAAGAAGCCCTGTCTGGTACAGAAAATAACCCCATGATCATTTCAATCTTCACCAAATCTTATTGCTAGTTCAATTCCAGTCAAAATAATTAGAATTGAGTTAAACCCAAACTACAGAGACACACATTTGCTTTAAGGAAGTTAGTGCAAGCTCATGCCTAAAACTAAATGTTCTTATATGACTTAACTCGAATGCAAATGTCTTTTCAAACGTCAGCAAATGATATAGCATAAAATCCTAAATGACAGAACATAAAATGCTGTAGGCTTGTCAGAAATGTGTCAACATGTACAAAAAGTGTCAAATTGCTTCAGACTCTAACCAAACAGTGTCAGTTGTTTATTCCTTAATGTGTAAATGCCACATTCAGGTCTATTTAAACTATTGAAGGGATTAGTACTTGGTAATTGGTGTCATCCTGGACAGCTCCCTCTCATTTTCACCTCACATAAATAACATCACCCGGACTGCCTTCTTCCACATACGCAACATCTCCAGACTCCGCCCATCCCTTTCTCAATCAAATACTAAAGTCCTGGTCAATGCATTTGTCACGTCCCGCATCGACTACTGTAACGCCATCCTCTCAGGCATACCCACCAAGCTCATCAATAAACTACAAATCATACAGAACTCCGCAGCCCGGATCATCACCGGCACCAAGGCCTCCGAACACATCACCCCCATCCTCATCCAACTCCACTGGCTCCCTGTTCAATCCCGTATCAACTTCAAAAACCTACTGCTCACTTACAAAGCCCTACATAACCTGGCCCCCCCCCTATCTGGCTGACCTTCTTCAGGAGTACACCCCCTCTCGCTCCCTCTGCTCCTCCTCTGCTGGTCTGCTGACCGTCCCCACCCCACGCCTCGTCACCATGAGTGCTCAGGCTTTTAGCTGCACTGCTCCCAGACTCTGGAACTCCCTCCCCCCACACATCCGACAGTCAGACACAATCACCATATTCAAATCCCAATTAAAAACCCACCTGTTCAAATCTGCTTACTCACTGTAGTACTCCCCATTATATGTTTCATTTGTGTCCACTTGACTGTCTCCTCCATGACTTCCTGTTTGTGTTTTTATCATGTTCTGTTGCCTATTAGTGTTTTTAAAAAAAATTTTTTAACAAATTGTACGGTGTCCTTGGGTGTCATGAAAGGCGCCTACAAATAAAATGTATTATTATTATTAATTTAATATCTTAAATGACAGAGGCCGTTTCTCAATGTCGAGTATACCTGCTGCAGAGCCACTATTTTAGTGGGAATGCTGATGCAGCATTCCAACTATCTGTTATGCTACGCACGAAATTCTTTATTATTCGGCCGAGTTATTTTGCGCCACTTCTCCTTCCACATTGGACATCGCAGAAACTCTGTTCGAACATCAAAACGTTCAGCTCGGTCAGGAATCGATGGCTATTACTTTTATCATTCATAACTTTCATAATTCCAGAGATACATCCCATAATACATCACATTTTTAACATGGAAGTCATTGTCAATGAGAAACTCTTCAGACTTCAACAATCTTCATGCAACTTCAACTGCTAACTGCTCCTTCTTCAACTGCTAACTGCTCCTTCATACTTTCATTCAGAAACCTCATTCCAACTTTAAAATGTTACACATCTTTCTGACATTATTCATGTTACACAACTTTTGAATCTGATTCTTACTTTTAGAGATATTAAACATTGTTCAGACATTGGTAAAGAGGCCTTCTTCAGATTTTAGAGTGCGTGATGTCACAGCTAGAGTGGAGGACAGATTTAATTTTGCCTTCATGGTTTCTTTTAAACCTGCCATAATTCCCAAACCCTACATTCCTGAGACATTATTTTTCATGACAAACGTAGGAAAACCTCTCGTAGCTTGAAGTCATAACAAGTGGTACAGGACAGGTAGACGACGTGTTTTTCGGATGGAAAATGAGTCAAACGCGAAAACGCAGTGATGCACTTCAACCAAAACCCAGGCAGTGATAAAGCGCACCATTTGTAAAGGCAAAATATCCTTTAAAGCAGGGTCAACAAATAATCTCCATCGCCACTTAAAAACACAGTATTGTAGAGCCGATGAACGGGAGTCAGAGGCGGTGTATTCAGAATGGACTTCCACACTTTATTATTCATTAATCAAGAAGACGTGAGTACATGTGCTGCTCTGTGTAACCAGCTTGCATGAAAGACGTCCAACCCCGGTACCCTCACTAACGGGTCCGGGTTGCAACACACACGAATCACACAGTGAATTATATACCAATAATGTGTCACCACACAAGCACCCCCAGAATTCACCCATAAACAAAGTCCGCGTGGCGGGGCGGAACGACAGGCCGACCCCCATGACTCCTGAGCACGGGAGTCGGAAAAAACGACCTCTGCCTGTGCAGCCTACGGAAGAGGCGAGACCGGAACAACGGGTCTCAACTCAGCGACCGGGATCAAGACCAGGAGGCCTTCCCGTCGCGGAGGTCGAGCCAGCACCACCGGCTGGTCCAAGTCCAGGTGAGCAGCTTTCACCCGGTCCACCGAGACGTGCTGGGCCCTGCCACCCAGGTCGACCACCAAGTGCTTGTCCCCGTGTTCCAAGACCCGGAAAGGCCCATTGTAAGGGGGCTGCAGGGGGCCTCTGTGCGCGTTGTGGCGGATGAACACATGCCCCGCCGAGCGGAGCTCCACGGGAACCCGGGACACCTGAGTTCCGTGCCGAGCAGTGGGGAACAGAGCAAAGGCCTCAGCGGCGTCCTGCAGGGAACCGATGCGTTGGGGAGGAAATCTCCCGGAACCCTCAACGGCTGCCCGTAGACCATCTCAGCCGTGGAGCACTGCAGATCCTCCTTAGGCGCGGTCCTCAGGCCCAGCATCACCCAAGGCAGCTTGTTGACCCAATTACCGTCCGTCAGGCCGGCCTTGAGGGCCGACCTTCATGGAGCGATGGAAACGCTCACAAAGGCCGTTAGCCTGAGGATGATAAGTGGTAGTCCTGTGAAGCTTAACCCCCAAACCACTCACCACGGCGTTCCATAGCTCGGACATGAACTGCGAACCCCGGTCCGAGGAAATATTTGACGGGTTGCCAAAACGACACACCCACGTCGCAATGAAAGCCCGGGCTATGTCAGCCACCGGTGGTGAGGAGGTAGGAAAAACCCTGAGAGGAGGGCAATGGACCCACTAGGTTGATGTTGACGTGGTCAAACCTCCTCTCCGGCACCAGGAAACGTTCCAAAGGAGCTTTCGTGTGGCGGTGCACTTTAGCACGCTGACAAGCCACGCACTCACCAGCCCAAGTCATCACGTCCTTCTTCAGCCCCCGCCAGACGAACTTCGCAGCCACCAAGTGCACCGAAGGCTTACCGCCGGTGTGAGACAGGTCGTGCACCGCCTCAAAAACGGAGCGCCTCCAACTGGCGGGAACGACTGGCCGCGGCAGGCCTGTGGAGACGTCACACAGGAGGGTAACGCCCGCGTCACCGAAAAGCACGTCTTCCAAGCGCAGCCCCAAGCCATCCTCCTTCAGGGCCTGTACGCTGGGGTCCGTGACCTGGTCCGTCGCCATGCGGGTATAGTCCAGGCCCAACTGGACGGCCCTGACGACGACCCTAGAGAGGCAATCTGCGACCAGGTTCGACTTGCCAGCCACGTGCTTAATGTCTGTGGTGAACTCCGAGATGTAAGACAGCTGCCGCTGCTGACGTGCAGACCAAGGCTCTGCCACTTTTGACATGAACGGCTTGTGGTCGACAAACGCCGTAATTCACAGCCTTCCAGCAAAAAACGGAAGTGCCGCATGGCCAGCCAGAGTCCAAGGAGTTCTCGGTCAAAAGCGCTGTACCTGCGTTCCCTGGGCGTCAGCTGACGGCTGAAAAAGGCGAGTGGCTGCCAAGCGCCCTCCACCCACTGCTCGTGCTTCGCACCAACGGCATAGTCCGATGCGTCTGTGGTAATGGAGATGGGAGCCGTGGGTGACGGGTGCGCCAACAGGGCTGCCTGAGCCAATGCAGTCTTGACCTCCGTAAAAGCAGACTCAGCTTCCGCCGTCCAGTCGATCATCTGGATGGCGGTCGTACCTTTCAAAGCCTCATACAGCGGCCGCATAATGTGGGCGGCCCGGGCGATAAACCGGTGGTAGAAAGTCACCATCCCCAGGAACTCACGGAGCGACCGGGCTGTGAGCGGAAACGCCGCAACAGCCTCAACCTTCGCCGGCAGGGGTGCTGCACCACCTTTGGTGACGCGGTGTCCGAGGAAGTCAATGTCAAACACCCCGAACTGGCACTTTGCAGGATTAATTATCAACCCGTGTTGGCTGAGCCTCGTGAAAAGGGCTCGGAGGTGTGACAGGTGCTCTTCCACCGAAGCGCTGGCGACGAGTATCAAATCAAATCAAATCAAGTTTTATTTATATAGCACATTTATAAACGATTTTTGGTCGAGCCAAAGTGCTGTACATATAATAAAATTAGCCTACAGTGGAGACACTTTACATCAAATACAACAGCACAGATTGTTCAGAATATCAGTATGAGAAATAAAAACGACACCCTCTATCCTTAGACCCTCACATCGTACAAGGAAAAACTTCCAGAGAAAAACCCACAGTTTAAGGGGAAAAAATGGGAGAAACCTCAGGGAGAGCAACAGAGGAGGGATCCCTCTCCCAGGACGGACAGACGTGCAATAGATGCCGTGTGTAAATCGAAAAGATAATACATTTTACAGCATATAGACCGAATGTTAGGAAATGTTTTTGGTCAAACATTAATTTGTTTCACATTAGCATTGATATAATCAATAATTTTTCTGATTTAATATAATAAAAATAATAATAATTTTCGAAAAAAAGAAAAAAAAACATATTTCTTGGGGGTGCTTAGGGGGTGCTTTGGCAATCCTGGGGGGTGCTTCTGCACCCCCTAGCTCCCCCCTGGCGCCGCCCCTGCGCAGCAAGACTACAAGGAAATAGTGCTACTTGGAGATTTTAACTGGGACTGATTAACTGCAGTATCAGAGGATTTTAAAAACCTTTGTATCTCTTTAAATGTTACTCAGATTGTTGACAGTCCTACTCGCCCTAACATTAAGTAACCTAATAAATCCTCCCTAATTGATCTCATTTTAACTAATGTTCCCTATAAATACCCATCTGTGGGAGTATTTGCGAATGATGTGAGTGATCACTGTGTTGTAGCCACAATTAGGGACACTAAGGTCCAAAGGGTTAAACCTTGTATTATTATTAAGAGAGACATAAAACATTTTGTGGAGCAGGGTTTTGTTCATGATCTGTTTGGGTTTGATTGGGGAAAAATCGATCTGTTTGCTGATGTGGAAACTGCATGGTCTTATTTTTATCTTGGTTTTATGGAGATCATTGATTGACATGCACCCCTGCGTACATTTAGAGTAAAGAGACGAGACAATCCTTGGTTTTCTGCTGAACTGTCCAGTCTCCTTCATGAGAGAAATAAGGCCTGGGCAAAGGCTAGGAAATCAGGCTCAGAGGTAGAATGGCTGCGTTTTAGGCAGCTAAGAAATAGCTTCACATCGCAAATCAAAAGTGCTAAATCAAAGTATTATCTGTCAGTTACCACAAAGAACCTGAATAATCCTGGAAAATGTTGGAAAGCCATTAAATCGTTATCCACCGGTGATATCCGTAATGAGCTACCTCCGTGCATTACCACAGCATCTGGCTCTATATCGGACAAGACCACTATGCTAAATTGTTTTAATGAGCATTTTGTGTCCTGTGGCTCTCTGTTTGATTCTGTCACTAACTCTGCTTCTGTGAACACCACAGTCTGTGATCCTGAAAAACGTGTTTTGGAAAACCCTTTTAGTTTTACTCCTTTTACTGTTGATGTTGTTCGTGAAGCTTTAACCAAGTTAGATCCTAAGAAACCGGCTGGCCCGGACAACGTAGAGCTTTTCTTTTTAAAGATAGCTGCAGATTTTATTGCTCCACCTCTCACTCTTTTTAACCTCTCCCTCAGCTCAAACACAATTCCAAAATTGTGGAAGTCAGCGTATGTCCTGCCTCTACTAAAAGGTGGGGAGGCCACCTTATTAAATAACTATAGGCCCATCTCTAAATTATCAGTTCTGGCTAAGGTTCTTGAACGCTTAGTGAGTGAACAAGTAAAGGTGTTTTTATATACAAATGACATCCTGTCTAAACATCAGTCAGGCTTCAGAAAGCAACATAGCACCATCACTGCCACAATGAAAGTGATGAATGATGTGGCGAGTTTTTTAGATAATAAGCAGTTGTGCAGCTCTATTTATTGACCTTTCAAAAGCGTTTGATACCGTCGATCATCGCATCTTAAAGCAGAGGCTAGCCAGTATAGGCATGTCCAGCCATGCAGTGGGGTGGTTTGTGAACTACCTCTCTGAAAGGTCCCAATGTGTTCACTTTGATGGGCTGTCTTCTGAGTGGTTAAACATTGCAAATGGTGATCCTCAAGGTTCTGTTTTAGGTCCACTTTTATTCTCTATATACATCAATAGTTTAAGTGAAAATGTCGATGGAGCAACCTTACATTTTAATGCGGACGATACCGTGATGTACTGTGCAGGTCCCTCCATTAAGGAGGCTGTTGTTGAATTGCAAGCAGTTTTTAACATTATTCAGACTCAGCTCTCTGAACTAAAGCTTCTTTTAAATGTTGATAAAACCAAGGTAATGCTCTTTTCAAAAGCTAAAAAGACCCCAGACCCTGTTTTAGATATTGTAACTACGCAAGGAATACAAATTGAAGTGGTTACCTGTTACAAATACCTTGGTATCTGGCTTGATGATTGTCTCACTTTTAAACTTCAGGTCATTAATCTGCTTAAAAAGCTGAGGGTTAGGCTAGGTTTCTTCTACAGGAACAAGTCCTGTTTCTCGCTTGAGGCCAGGAAAAGGCTAGTCACTGTGACCTTTTTACCTGTGCTGGACTATGGTGATTTGATTGATATGAATGCACCTGCCCATTGCCTGGTCAAGTTAGATGCTGCGTATCACAGCGCACTGAGATTTGTGACAAACTGTAAAGCATTTACCCATCACTGTACCCTGTATGCAAGGGCTGGTTTGCCTTCGCTAACTGTACGGAGGCTCAGTCACTGGTACATTTTTATATATAAAGCCATGTTAGGGAAACTTCCATCCTACATCTGCTCCCTGATCTCACGGCGAATTGTAAGTGGCTACTGCCTGAGATCGCATGCTGTAGTTTTATTAAATGTGCCAACTGCTAGGACTGTCTTAGGGAAGATAGCTTTTAGATGCGCAGCTCCTCTGTCTTGGAATAGTCTGCAATTTAAATGGAAACTGAGCAATCTGGTGCCACTAAATGTTTTTAAAGCTCGGTTGGATGCTAGTCAATCGGAAGCTGTTGGTACCTGCTCATGTGGATAGTTATTGTAAATTATAATCCCTGTAATGATGCTGTAAAATGTCCTTTTTGTTGTTCTGTTTATGTTTTATGTGGAACCTACTTGAGCAGGTCTCCCTTGAAAAAGAGATTAATGATCTCAATGGGATACACCTGGATAAATAAAGGTTTGAAATGAAATGAAAGCTTGCCGCTGTATTTACTCCCTCCATCTGACAGGAGGAGCCTCGTTGAGCTGCGAGTGGTCCATGGTCACTCCACGGAGTTCACTCCGTCACGGAGGGGGAGTGTGTAGGGGTAGGGTGTAGGGCGTGGTTTAGGATTGGGCCTTAAAAGGTCCTTCGGCGCCACTGGATGACGCAGTATACTTGAAATAGTGGCTCTGCAGCAGCAGGTTTATTCGACATTGAGAAACGGCCCGTTTGTAAGGTACAAACCAACTAACGCAGCTTTGTTGTTTTAATAGTAGTGCCATATTGCAATTGATAGTTAACCGTTGTTTCTTTTTTCCTCAACAGTTCAGCCATGGATGATGAAATCGCCGCACTAGTTGTCGACAACGGATCCGGTATGTGCAAAGCCGGATTCGCCGGAGACGACGCTCCTCGTGCTGTCTTCCCCTCCATCGTAGGCCGCCCCAGGCATCAGGTGAGGCATTGAGCTCCAAAAGAATAGAGAGAAAATTTAGACTTGATAAGCATTTGCATATGAGATGTAGGCCTATAACCAGCCAGTCAATCAGTACACAAGATGATCCTTTATCAGGCCTTATAGGGGAAATTCATGTGTTGCAGTAAAGACCTAAATAAGTACAAATATAGAAGTAAACAGACACGCAAAGCAATACATCGCATGTATTCATGTGCCTGTGTTACCGTTTAACTGGTGGCGCGGAGAACTCGTGATATTCTATAACGGTACGAATGTGTCTGGGGCGTCTACTTTGAGGAGCCATTGTCGAATAACCAGGAAATGCACATTTCGATCGCTTCTTCCGTCGTTTACATTAATCTTTTGGTATATTTGGCTGGATAGGAACACTTTGATGCACATTCAGTACCAGTGTGTGAGATTGTGGTTGCGATGCCGATAAATCATTTAAACCAGTTATTTTTGCCAGACTTATTACTGAATATCGTTCTTAATGTGATCCCAAGTCCATCTGAGACCTGTGTACACCTTCAGACAACCTACAAGTGAAGCACACGTAGTTTACTCGGTTTGAAAGCAGCGTGGAGAAGTCTTCAGCTGTGGAGCCGTGATCCGCCCAGGTTAAATTGTGATACGACTTATGTTCTGTGGCTATCTACCAGTGATCATGTTTAATATGAAAAACTACACACATGCAGTATTTCCCCTACCATTGTCTTGGAGGGGCGCTGCGCCCCGCCAACGGAGCCCCGCACCCACCCTGAAATGAAAAAAAAAATATTATTTAAAAAAAAAAAAAAAATGTTTTATATATATATTGCAACTCATCTATATCTACTGTCACTTTTCACATTGAACATCTGCTCTTTTATTTAAAAAAAAAAAATTCCAATACCGATACATAAATGTATTCCAGTGCACACATGAAGTTATATGATATAAAATATGCAAATCAGGCCATGTGTAATGGATACAAAAGACCACAAAGATAAAAGCATAAACGTTAAGATAGAAACTAAAACATGTTCACAGCAGAGTAAACATGAATATATGTGTTTGTAGTTCTCAACGTATGTGAGTATCCTCTTCATTCGGTTTGTGTCGCTGTATCGATGCATAACGAAAGTTAACCAAGTAAACAGTCACATCTTATCTGGATAAGTGCTGCAAAGTGCAGAATACCGTTTTGATAAGGGATACATGTGTGTAGTCTTTAATATTAAACATGATCGCTGGTAGATAGCCACAGAACATAAGTCGTATCACAAGTTAACCTGGGCGGATCACAGCTCCACAGCTGAAAACTTCTCCACGCTGCTTTCAAACTGAGTAAATTACGTGTGCTTCACTTGTAGGCTGTCTGAAGGTGTACACAGGTCTCAGATGGACTTGGTATCACATTAAGAACGATATTCAGTAATAAGTCTGGCAAAAATAACTGGTTTAAATGATTTATTCAAGCGTGCAATGTTTTGAACAGACATCCCCAGTCACCTCATTGTCATTTTGTAGTTCTCGCTGTACGCGTCCGGATATCTGCATCGCAACCACAACCTCCCACACTGGTACTGAATGTGCATCAAAGTCTTCCTATCCAGCCAAATATACCAAAAGATAAATGTAAACGACAGAAGAAGCTATCGAAATGTGTATTTCCTGGTTATTCGACAATGGCTCCTCAAAGTACACGCCCCTGACACATTCCTACCATTACAGAATGTCACGAGTTCCCCGCGCCACCAGTTAAACAGTAACACCTGTACTTGGACTTGTAAACTGTATGTATATCCATGTTGTAGTGCAGAATATATAATCTAACCATCTCTGATGTCTTGATTCCAGGGTGTGATGGTCGGTATGGGCCAGAAGGACAGCTACGTTGGTGATGAAGCCCAGAGCAAGAGGGGTATCCTGACCCTGAAGTACCCCATTGAGCACGGTATTGTGACCAACTGGGATGACATGGAGAAGATCTGGCATCACACCTTCTACAACGAGCTGAGAGTTGCCCCCGAGGAGCACCCCGTCCTGCTCACAGAGGCCCCCCTGAACCCCAAAGCCAACAGGGAGAAGATGACCCAGGTACACACCCTTAACTTTAGCACACACAGAATGTAGCATACTTAGCTTATCCCGTATTATTAGCTATTTAACTCGTAGCCTCATTTCTTCCTGGGTTTCCCTCCATTCCATTCTCACCTGCTCCTTCCTCCCCCTCTCCTCCAGGACTTCTCTCCTATAAGATGATCTATCATCAACAGGTCTCTCTTGACTGTGTGCCTTTTATCTGCACTTGTGTAGCTGAGTTATTAAATCAGCACTACTTTAATAGACATCTGACATGCACAAGTGTGAAGGAATGATGACTTTCTGCACTTTGTTTCTCTACTAACTTTAATCTTAGCCTCACACAATAATGCATGTAGTGAGTGCAGTGGCCACAGAAGTTAAGTACTTTTTTATTGTGATTGATTATTAACATGTTTTCTTTTCATTCTACAGATCATGTTCGAGACCTTCAACACCCCCGCCATGTACGTTGCCATCCAGGCTGTGCTGTCCCTGTACGCCTCTGGTCGTACCACTGGTATCGTCATGGATTCCGGTGATGGTGTGACCCACACAGTGCCCATCTATGAGGGTTACGCCCTGCCCCACGCCATCCTCCGTCTGGATTTGGCTGGCCGCGACCTCACAGACTACCTCATGAAGATCCTGACAGAGCGTGGCTACTCCTTCACCACCACAGCTGAGAGGGAAATCGTGCGTGACATCAAGGAGAAGCTGTGCTACGTCGCCCTGGACTTCGAGCAGGAGATGGGCACCGCTGCCTCCTCCTCCTCCCTGGAGAAGAGCTACGAGCTTCCCGACGGTCAGGTCATCACCATCGGAAACGAGAGGTTCCGTTGCCCAGAGGCTATCTTCCAGCCATCCTTCCTCGGTGAGTTACCAACTTAACATAACCTGCACTACATCCCTAAAAATAAGGAAAAACCCCTTCTAGTTATCCTGCAGCGACACTTGCTAACCAGTGTTTTGATTCTGCCCTCAGGTATGGAGTCTTGCGGAATCCACGAGACCACCTACAACGGCATCATGAAGTGTGACGTCGATATCCGTAAGGATCTGTACGCCAACACCGTGCTGTCCGGAGGTACCACCATGTACCCCGGCATCGCTGACAGGATGCAGAAGGAGATCACCGCCCTGGCCCCATCCACCATGAAGATCAAGGTGAGCTGAGCCTCTGCCCAGCCAGCAGAGTAACATACTGCTCTGTTTGAGTCGGATGAATGCAAAAAGAAATGGTGTCTAATGCATCTTCCCCTTGTCTCTCTGCAGATCATTGCCCCACCAGAGCGTAAATACTCTGTCTGGATCGGAGGCTCCATCCTGGCTTCTCTGTCCACCTTCCAGCAGATGTGGATCAGCAAGCAGGAGTATGATGAGTCCGGCCCCTCCATCGTCCACCGCAAATGCTTCTAAAGAAACGGACTGTTCCCCCTCTCCAACCAGACGCCTAACAACTTCAGCTCTTCATGACGTTTGACTCTTGTCTTCCATTAAATGAGTTTATTTCAAGGTGAATGTGACTTCCAACCGTTATTGAAATGCTAAAAAAACATTTGAAAAGTACACGAGACATGTTTCTTGCAGGAAAATCAGGGGTATATAAACATTCACATCTTGTAGGAAGATGAACCAGATATTTAAAAAATATGTATATAGTGTGTATACATTCATTAATGCAGCATATTTTTTAAACTAGTGAAATAAAGAATTTTAAAATGGCCTTTAATACAGGTCTCATTTACTTTTGTTAAATGGCAGATTTCCAGTCAAGACAAAGGCTAACTTCAATGATTAAAAGTATCGACTAACCTAAAATCTCTACTATAGATTACTTTGAATCCTTAACCCTTGAAAATCCAGATGTTTCAGTCTCTATAGAACCATGTGTTAAACTCAAAGTGGTCAGATCACCTCGTTAGGCATAACCATTTTGATTGTATTCCATAGGTAGCTGCTTATTGAGTTAATACATTAATGAACCAGTGAGTCACAATACAAAGATGATGACACTATACATGTGTAATATTTAGATGCCATTACAGACAGTCATTTTGATTTATTCCACAAAACAACATTCAGTACACTGTTGGCTCTGGCCTTTCTTTCCCTCTATCATTACATTTCATTTAGCTGACGCTTTTATCTAAAGCGACTTACAATAAGTGCATTCGACCAAGAAGATACAAACTTGAAGAAAACAGAATCATATACGTACATCAGGTTTCATAGAGCCAAACCATTTCAAGTGCTACTCAACTGGCTTTAGGTAAGCCAGTCCTTTATTAGTATATAAGTGCTTTGTTAATAGTTCTATCGCTCGAAGTGGAGTCGAAAGAGATGAGTTTTCAGTCTGCGCCGGAAGATGTGTAAGCTATCTGCTGTCCTGATTTCAATGGGGAGCTCATTCCACCATTTTGGAGCCAGGATAGCAAACCCACGTGTTTTTGCTGATGGGAACTTGGGTCCCCCTCGCAGTGAGGGTGCAGCGAGCTGTTTGACTGATGCAGAACGGAGTGCTATCCTCAGGTATCTCATCATTTGTGACCACGTTCTCCTCCTGAGATCATGAGATTGTTAATGAGCTATAAAACCCCTTAATGATGAGAACATTGACAAATCAAAAAAGTGTTTTTCTTCTCTGAAGACACATTCAACTATCACAGAGACTTTAACAGCAGGGTGTTGCCATTAGTCTCTTGCTTTCATTTAATGTTTACACAGGCCACTTTATTGCATTCAGTGTGCATATTATACAGTATTAATTTCCTGATATGGATCTATTTTGAGTGACTGTTTCACATGGATGTACTTTGTTGATCCCAAATGAAATGGTCTCCTTACAGCAACGCATTGCACATGAGTTAAAAATATAATAATATAACAAACACAAATATGGGTACTGTGGGGGAAACTTCTGAAACAGGACTCAGAGAGACACGAGGAGAGCTGGAGCTTTGATGGCAAACACTGACGGTTTATTTGGAGTTACGGCCGGAGAATTGACAAGACGGGTGGTGTGTCACGAGTTGACACAGCGGTTGCCAAACCAATTCTGAAGAACTCTTCTGCAGCTCGAGGCTTTAACTAGTTCGGAGTGTAATAATCAACATTCTTCATCAGTGAGACCAAACAATTATGGACCCTGAATCTAACTAGAGCTCTGGTCCATAGAAAAGAATGTGTGCCAGGGAACCTACGTCCCTGAACAGTAAACGACCTCATGGCGGCTTGTGCTCTGTCAGACTGGCAACAACAATGCGCCCAAGCGGCTCCTCCTTAAGAGAGATAGCAGCAACACCCAAGGCCGTAGAACTATGCCATGGGGGTACCACTTTACAATAAGACTACCCGCATAAAGGGTTTACGAATAGTTTGTAATTCATTCATTAGGTTGTGAACACTCATTAATACGTGAGATAAACAGGGCAACAGTGACCGGTTGCTTGCCAAACAGTGAGCCCACATTTATCTGTACTGCTAAGTCTTATACTGGCTACCTAGCTTACTTTGTCTTCTTCATCAGCCAGCATCCTTGGTGTCTGTTGTTCACTGAGTTGATTCTCGCTAAGTAGCCAATATAAGGCTTAGTCATCTTGCCAAATAGTGATTAATAAAGTGTTTACAACCTAACCTATATTTATAACCTAATTATAAACCATTTATGAATCCTTTATAAGGGTAGTGTCATTGTAAAGTGCTACCAAAATATGTACCAACTATAGAATATACAATATATATATAAAACAGAATAACTTAGACTGTTAGAAGTAGTTTTAATTCTGAATTAGGCATCCACAGGCTTGCGTAAAAAGACATGTCATTGTACACGTTACAGTTACAACATAAACTTATCTTGTTTTATTAGAGAATTAGCAACCTGGTGTTGAATCCGGGGCACGGTTCAGACAGCAGATGGCGACACAAGTCCATTTCTACCTATGACCAAAAGCCAAAAGTGAGGTGTGACTGACACCAAATGGTCTTTTAAACTTTATTTATTTGTATATGTTTTATTTAATATATATGTTTTATTTAATTGATAGGTTTTTACTTGTATTATTTGCAGAGGTGGGAGAAGTACTGAGATCTTGTACTTGAGTAAAAGTAGAAGTCAGAGTGTAGGAATACTCTGTTACAGTAAAAGAACTAAAGTCTGATTTAACACTTGATTATATTTCACATCATTGATCCAGATCTGTAAAGTCACTTAAGGCATTACATATATGTAGTGGAGTAAAAGCACATGTATTTACCTCTTAATTGCAAAGGAATAAAAGTGAGAAGTAGCATAAAATGGAAATACTCAGGTAAAGTACAAGTACCTTTAAAGTGTACTTAAGTACGGTACTTGAGTTAATCTACTTAGTTACTCCAATTTGATTAGCGACATTCTCAAGTTGGTCTTTTGATCATTTGTTTATTTTTGATTATTATTATTTTTTAATTGTTTTATAGGTTTTTATATGTTATCGTATTAATTGCTTTGGTCTTTTATCTTACTGAGAGGCTCATTATTTAGTTCATTGCGTTTTATTTTTCATTATCATATTTACCCGAGTGTCCCTTAAAGTGTTATCCAATGCTGGATCCAATGCTGGATAACAATAGAGCTCTGTTTAAACATTGTATGGCCTCTGTTTAGAAATGGCTCTCATCCGAGGCAAGAAAGTAGAAAACATTGGATTTTATGGAGGAAATACTCCTGTTCAAATTGAGTGATTAAGACATCAACTGTACGCTCAACGGGCACTACTTTTTATTAATGAAATCAAAGTTTATATAGAAATGTTGAAGGAAGTTTTTCCATTAATTAGCACTTATTTATTAAATATTATGAATATGTCTTTATTATCAGGCTATGTTCCACAATCATTCAAAGTAGCAGTGATAAAACCGCTTCTTAAAAAGCACAACCTCGATCCAGAGGTTTTAGCCAATTATAGACCTATTTCCAATCTTCCGTTCCTCTCAAAAATTCTTGAGAAAGCGGTCGCAAAACAGTTGTGTGATTACTTAAAAAACAATGATTTATTTGAAGCTTTTCAGTCTGGCTTTAGAACACATCATAGCACAGAGACAGCTCTGGTTAAAGTCACAAATGACATTCTAATAGCCTCTGACAAGGGACGTGTCTCTATTCTTGTTTTGCTCGATCTCAGTGCTGCATTTGATACTATCGACCATGATATCTTATTGCAAAGACTAGAGCACTTAGTTGGCATACAGGGAACTGCTTTAGACTGATTTAGGTCCTATCTATTTGAACGCTCTCAGTTTTGTTAGAGATTTGGAGGGATAACTGGTCCGCTTTTCAAATCTCCGCGCGTTCCTATGAAGCTGGTTATAATACAGGAAGGAATCCATATCTACAAAGTAACCTTTAACAATAATCTACTTTAATGGCAATATGACAATGCAATACAATCATTACAATACAACATGATATATTACAGTTATATTGTAATGCTTAAGGAGTAATACCGGCTTACTCCTGCACTCGTTCGCATACTGCAGAGCTACTTTCACCCGAGGGCAGCATGTGAAGAAGAGGCCGAACGCCAGGGATCCTCCGGATATATACCAGAGTAAGAAGGAGGGGTTTGGTGTTAGGTCAGCTGGTCATCTTTTCAGGTCATCTCATTGGGAGACGCAACGCTGGCCAGCAGGAAACCAAACAGGCTCACTTTACAACAAAAGGTCTCAAGGCCTGCATACCTACACCTCCCCCACAGAGCAATAAAACCCTGTTTACTCCAACCAGCCCAGAATGTTTATAGCCATTTGTAGTCCTTACATTTATGAAAGGATAAAACAGAGAAATCAATATAAAACACAAACACAGGTATTGTTTGAACAGTATTCACTTAACTGCTACTATTGATAAGCACCAGAGAAACCCAAGGGACCTCTCTTAATATCACAACCACTGTAGCTTGTTCTAAGTTGAATGCAAATCAGGACATGCTCTCACCTTCCCCCATCTTCCTTTGTCCTCAAAAACACATGTCAACAGGCCCCATATCCAGCTCACAGTTTTACCCAAATTATTCCCATTTTAAGCTTATCCATAGTTTGCTAACATGAATAAATACAAATATAACTCTACAGTTTGTACGTGTCAATGATGAATCTTCCACGCAAACCAAAGTTAGCCATGGAGTGCCACAGGGCTCAGTGCTCGGACCTATTTTGTTCACATTATATATGCTTCCGTTAGGCAATATTATAAGGAATCATTCTGTAAACTTTCATTGTTATGCGGATGATACTCAACTATATTTATCAATCAAGCCTGATGAAATTAATCATCTAAATAAAATTCAAGACTGCCTTAAGGACTTAAAAACGTGGATGACCTTAAACTTTTTGATGTTAAACACGACCAAAACTGAAGTTATTGTACTTGGCCCGAAGAATCTACGAAACAAATTATCTAAGGATATACTAGTTATGGATGGCATTAATTTGGCCTCCAGTGAGACTGTAAGGAATCTTGGTGTTATATTTGATCAGGA